CTTATGACAAAAGGCACTGGGCAGCACTGTTGCTTGCCTTCTTGATAGCTGGTTGTTTCAGCTACATAAAAGTTGGAAGTGCTGCACAGAAAATGAAAAAGTAGGGAACAACCAAACAAGAATCCAGAGGGTCAGTTATGACTCAGAAAAGGGCAAAAGAAAGAAAACTAAGAAGCCATCAGCAAAGTAAACATTCTCCATAAACTCCCCAGCAGCTAAATCTGAAAAGGCAAGTCCAGATACTTGGATCCAAAAATATATTCTTCATTCCAACTATTAGATAAAAATATAAATGCTAATGGCTGTTGTACTCATTAACACCCACACTGTCACAAACCAACAGATGAGCACAGGATACTTTTTGTCCTTGTCAAAACAGAAATGGATCAATTCAAAAGAAAAATACGTACTGACAGCAACACCAATTGTGGACTACAGAACTACCAAGCAAGCTATACTGAAGAGCTATGACTGTCAGGAATGGCATTGCAGCAGCCTTCCAGAAAACAAACAAGGATTTTGAATTTAGCAGAGAATTTCAATACTGTTGCCTACTTCACCCACAAGGCATTCAACTCTGCACGGATTTAACCCCATACGACATCCTGAAAACTGACCCAACAATAACACTAAACAGTCTGGCAATGGATTGGCAGTAAGTGTACACTACCAGCAGGTCATTCTTAGGTCCCACCTTAACATTCCCATTAGTAATTTGAAAGAGGATGGGAGTGGCAAAGAAGCCAGATGACATTTGCAGAGGACACCAAACTGGGTGGAGCAGTAAACAAGTACAAATATAGAAAAACACACTGAGTTTTTATATAAAGACCTAAGACCATTTCATACGAAGGAGGAAATGGAGCAGCACTGAAGACTCTTTCTGAGCATATTTATACAAACTCTACACTTGTACAGCTGATCCCAGAACAAGCTTGCACCCAGATAACACCTATTCTTGAATCATTCTCTTACAACAGAACAATACTGTAAAAGCGTGTATTGGGATAAATTATGAAAAAATAATCTAAAACCTCTCCTGACAATGAGGGACTATTTTAGTGCAGGAATTGTGCTGTAAAAACATTGCTTTCCAAAGAGAGTAGAAAGCGTGGTACTGACACAATCAGAAATAATCTCAAGAAAGTCAACAAACGCTACAGATATTTACGTGCTGTCTGGAGGAATTACCGCAGGTGAAAACAAACCTGTTTCTACAGCCAGTGAATGACTGGTGCACGGTTCTCACAAGGGAAGAAGCAACTAAGTCTCATCGTACTACAGGCACAGAGGGACGCGTTTTAGGGGAAGCACTACTCACACCAACAAAGTGTTCTGCAACGCGCCATGAAAAGCAGAAGAGATAAAGGCAACAGACTCTATTCGGCTAAGCCCGGAAGAAAACAGCAGGAGCACCCGCTCCCTCAGGCCCCGCAGAGCAGCCC